AAACTTTCAATTTCAGAATCAAGTCCTTAACAGTTTTTTTTGTGTCAATATTCGACACATTTCTAGTTCTATTAAATTAATTCATCTTCAGTTAACATAGTTCAATTCTACATATTAGCACTCCGAGTAGACCGCTTTTTGTTAAAAAAAATTCACCTGATCAATTCCAAAACAATTTGTTTTAAATCACTTAACCTATATTAAATGAAATCGAATTCTATGCTGTATTACAACATGTTATAAAATTTAACAACAAATTAAACGAATTTTGTTCAAACTCCACTTACCTCACAAAGTGGATAATTTTCACCTCATATGCTATTGCGTGTTAGAATACACTTAGAAACATACTATCTTCACTAGCTCTCCGGCTAGACTTTGACCAAAATAAAGTTATACTTAATATGTCCACAAACAATACTCAACAAATGGACTGTTTCCTACACTTTTTTTATTACTTGTCAGCGATGCGAAATAATTGATACAAAAAAGAGCATTCTCATGGCGGTCACAACACTTCTATCAATCAAATCTTGTTGCCACACTAAGTTCAAAACTAAAGAAGAAAAACAAAAGAATTTACGCGTTTGACATAAAATGAAGCAAACGACTCACAAACACCTTGTTTACGATTTTATCAAGAAAATAATATAGATATATTACATTTAAAAAAATCATTTCCAATCACATTAAAAAGAAAGGAAAATTCGAGGATTTTTGAAAACATCTTGGTTGGATTCGTGATCCATTTCCTTTGCATATGCAGTCATCTTTCAAATTAGTGAGAAAGAACAATTTATAGATCTAATAGTGATAATACTCGTGAAATCTTTAAGACTCACCTGCCAAAAATTTGGCGATGTGGAAAAACAATAATCCAAACATCGATGAGATATTAGAAACTTGCAGCCCATACATCTCATTAAAGGGCAATTATGATTTTGTTAACAAAAGTATTCTCTTAAAAATTATAAATAAAATAAATGAGTCAGATATGATGATGTTTTTATTCGTGAAACGAAAGAAGTGCGCGAAATATACATTTGTGAACGTTTATCTCTAGGGGTCGCCAAAAATTTTCTCTCTACAAAAGGGGTCGCAGTGGAAAAAAGTTTGCGCACCACTGTGATAGACTGATTGATTTAAAATGTTGCCAAGCTTTGGTTATGAAATGATTTTCAAACCAATCATTCATTAATGTTTATGGCATCCATGCTGTTTAATTTTAATGCTAGATGATAGGAAAAATCTTAAATCTCTTAAATGCTCAAATTCATGTATTTTTTCCCAGTTATGAAAATTTTACATTTGTATGTTTGTGCATAATTTGCATATGCCAAAATCATTAGTTTCACTTTGAAATCAGTTTGGAACTTTTCTACAGAGATTGCCAAGATATTTTGTGGCACATATTGCGAAAAAAAAAGATCAGTTTTGTCAATTTTTTTTTTTTTTTTTTTAGAGAACTGTTTGCTGCTAATAAATTTGGTGAATTCAGCTGCTTCAGTACCAGCTGAAACTTTCATGCTGCACACATGAAATTTTTAACTGCCTTACACCAAAGTAGTTTTTATATTTGGCTAACCATTCTGTTGAATATGTGCTCTCAGTTTTTAAATCCATTTTTGTATGAAACATTTTCACTTCCATTAGCACTCAAAAAACCGTTACAATGCTGTCTCACTCATTCAGCTATCACTTTATCATGATCATCTCTTTTAGTATATTGAATGATTCTGTTATTTACTGTAAGTAAAGTGACAAAATCCACCAAAACAAAAATCAGAAACTCCATTTTTTAATGTAACTTTACAGGTCCATACCTCTGACATTTTGAGATGAATTAATTTTTTCCAGCCATTCCACCTTTTTGCTTGATTGATATCAAAATATGCCTTTGCTGCAGCTCCAGAATTAAAAACCGTTTTCAGAATAGTCAAGAATTCCAACTTTTATTTTTATGAGATAGCTGTAATAATAATAATAGCCTTAAAAAAATAATTGACTGGATCAAATTAAATGGAAGAACACAGTTTCCTAGGTTAACTCAGCTTAAAACCCTCTCAGAATTATGGCCGGAAAATTCCGTACAGAAAGCTGTCTTCTATATTCAATATATATGAAAATTCCTGCTAGCTTTTAAATATATCTGATGTCAGTTTGGATGTATATTGGAAGAAAAGGAATCAAGGTACAAAATGAGAGAGTCATTTTTTAATTAAAATCAAGAAAATATCACTTATTAATGACATTTTGAGGAACTTTGAAATTTCAGGGCTAAATCTGTAACACTCAGAGGGTTAAGATCCTAAAACTCCCTTCTCAGTTGCTATGCCAATAAAAGGAAACTAGTATGATCAACATTCTACACCAAACAAATATATCTCAGTTCTTCACTCACAGTTTAGGTCAGAAAAGATAAATGTTATTAATCTTTCCATAACTACTCAAATGCCGAAAATGTGGTCACTGTCAGTCTGGCCACTTTATAATTGCCTAGTCAGCAGGAAAACCACTTTTACAGCACACATATTGTTTCCTTAATATTTTGTTCTCCAGTCATATATTTTTTAAAGAAAAGTAAAAAAATTTTTGGCTAGTGGTCCAAATATTAGATCATTCGGGATATTGGATATCTGAATTTCAGGATTTGTACTATAAATTCAAATTTAACATGAAAACTAAAAAATACATGATAAATTACTTTGATATATTTTTAGATGTTTGGCTGTTTGTTATAAAATGCACAGGGTGCCCTAGAAAAAATGTGACAACATTGCATAGCATGTTCGGAGGATAGAGGAAACTAAATTTTGTTGGAATGATTTTGGTGCAATGTTTCATTCAAGCAATATGCAATTTCAAAAACTCCCAGTTTCAGATGGCCAAATTAAAGGGTAACTGATATAGTAAATAGTGGTAAAATGTTTTTTAGAAACTATTCATCCTCAGGTAATATTACTGGTTTTTGTTTTTTAGATGCTAGAAGAACAAATGGATAAAGAATTCAAAAAACAGAAAGAAAAAGCAATATCTGAAGCTGAAAATCAACGAAAAAATTTACAAGAGCAAGTGGAAAAGTGAGAAACATTTTATTCAGTTTGTTAATCACTTAAAATCTTGTTAATATGTGTGAATGAAGTTTTATACTTTACTTTTACTTTTTGGATGCATATGCTTTGCACATTTTCTAGAAAATTATGAAAGCACATCAAACTTGTGTCTTTTTTGTCGTAGTTTTTTTATGAATGTTAACATATTTTTTCTAAAAAATTCCAGGTTACGAGAATTAAGGAAAAAAAAAGAAGAAATGTTGGCCAAAAACAAAGCTGAATTTTCCAAAACTGATGGTGTTCCAAGGGAAACTGTTTCGGCAAATTCTGCTTTGAAAAGAACTACTGGCCAGAGTCAAAGCAGCTGTAAGTTCTGTCTTTTAATTATTTATTTATATGTCTTCCTTATCAATTTTTTTAAGTTTATTAGTAAATAAATTAATTTTTTACTTATTTTCTCATCTTGTTTATTTAGAATTAGAGATGTATATGTATATATCTATATAATGTTGATTTCACTTAGTTCGAAAACAAGTTTTTCTAATACTTGGGTTCAAAAGAGATTTTTTCGTGATGTCTGTATGTTTGTATGTATCTCACAAAACTAAAAAATGAGTAGCCTCAGAAAGTTAAAATTTTGTGTATAGGACTGCTATAACATGTGGTTATGCACCTCCCTTTGTGGTTGCAGTCAGCCACACCATAGGTATATATACCCACTATGTTACTTGGCTTGGTGAGCTTTTTTTTTTTTTTTTTTTTTTTTTGTGTGTTCAATTTTATTTTTATATGTTGGTATGTGAATGTTTGGCTTTAAAATTGATTGAATTATGTTATTCTTATCTTCCAGTTAAGGTGTTTATGTCTTTAGTTAATCTGCATGCAATAGTTGTAGAATGGCCTTGTTGCCTGCTGTTTTGTTGCCGAAAAATGGGTTTTTTGCACCGAAAAATCGGCCTTGTTGCCTGCTGTTTAAATCCGGCTAAGCCTATTTTTTTTTTACTGTAGCAGCCATATTTGTTTACATTTGAAACTTAGCAGAATAGTGAATTAACCCTTTCAACCCTACTTTTGCTGATTAAAATTTTACTATGAAAAGTAGTTTAATTTAATGTTGACTTACTAAAAGAAGTGTAATATAAGTTTAACTTTTTCTGTTTCCTGGAAATCTCCTGGGACAATATGTCCCAATTGTCTAGAATATTACCCTTTCTCAGAAAACAAAACTAAAATTTAGGGTAATATATAATGTAAATATTACAAAACATAAACTCTTGTCACACAGACTAGCTCTTATATACAACAAAAATTTTCATATATGTTTCATAGACACAAACATAATATATCAGCGTGTAGTAATTTGATCACCAATGGGACATATTAACCCACTGTTAAATACTATTGGGACAATATATCCCACAAAAAGAATTTATTCAAAATTTCTTAAATCTGACATTAAAAACATTGAATTATTACTTAATAAGAACTATTTCATACTAAGTATGTCTTAAGTATAATTGTACTTACTGTAAAATTTTTAAAAAAAATAGACAAATCAAAACTTGAGTAATCGGTGTGCTCAAAAACATAGTGTGCCATCAGCAATGCCTTGTTTCTTGAATCATATATTTGTTCCCTAATCCCTTAAAAACTTTGCAAACATAAAAACCCATTTAAAAGTGGGTTTTATTTACCCAACAGGGCATGAAACCTAATCTCTGGAACGTAGGTTCCCGTTAGGACCAAAAAGGTTAAATCTATTTCTTCACCTTTTTGCCAAGTGGTACCGAAAGTAAACTTTTGGTTTTTTGCACCGAAAAATCTGCCTTGTTGCCTGCTGGCCGAATTTGCTTGTTTTTGCATAGAAACTTTAATTGTAAAAATTGTTTTAACTGTATTTGGTGTTTTAATTTTTTCTAAATTTTTCGATTTTTTATGAAGATATTTTGCGGTTTTATGTATTATGGCTGCAAAGTCAGAAGTGAATTAATTGAATGAGAAATCTATCTCTAATGAAATTCGAGGAAATAAATTTAAATGAAATACAGCATAAAATATGTATAATTTAATATTCTGTACAAGGAAGTCATGTGGTGTCCGCATCAGATTTTTTTTCTGTCTGATTTTATGATGGAAGAAGAAAAATTAGAGTTACCTATAAAAGTGCACCAAAAATATTGTAAGGAAAATTTCAGTTACTCAACTATATTAAAAATGAGATCATATTTTATAATAAATAATATTTTATAAGAGTATACAATAAATTATAACAAACATTAATTTTTAATTCAATCTTCTGTATAGTTTAGGATAGGATTTTGGATTAGGACAAACGCTGGGCTGTCTGCGTAAGGGGAGGGATACATTTCTAGAGGACTTTTTATACCATTTCCCAGAAACAAAATTGTAATTGGCATCCTGAAAATTTTGTAATGAAATTTTAGTTACTGATATATTTAACCTTGAAATAAATGACTTTTTATGGACAGTTTTTGAATAATTTGTTTGTTGAAACAGGTATATTATTTCAACACTTCAAAAAGTAGATTTCAAAGAATTGTTTTAAAATAATTAATGTTTGTGCTGAAGTTATCTTATACTGGCATACTACAATTAATAGCAAGAATGTCTTAATCATTCTGAGTATTCATTTCAAGCTTGATGAGGGTTAGATTTGTCTTTCAGATCATATCAAAACATGGCTAAATCATGAATCATTTTGTATGCATTTTGGAAATTAGGAACAATGTCTTTTTCTATCATGTAAATAATATTGTAATCTGTCAGAATCATCAGATTTGACTTCTCAGCTCCAAAGCTTGCATTTCAATGCATAAATGATGAAAATTCTGGTCTTGCTTTTATTTTGCGTTTTGCAGTTGTATCTCGACTTTGATTTCCACACATATTTAAGACATTAAAATTTCCAAGAACACTTTTTAATTATTCTGAGTGTTGCTCCCTGCAGAAATGCAGAGCATATGATTGACTGCAATTTTAACCCTTTTGAGACAGCACACCTTTGTTTAAGATCCTGAGATGTATGGGATTCGAAAGGAATCGTCCCACAGAATGAGGGTTCTCCATCACTAAGCATAACTTTAAAAGAGGGGGGAATCACACAAAAAAATTTAAAGTCCTATTATCATATTTTAGTACCATTTTAGATTATTACTTAAGCTATCATATATGTTAAATTAGTGTTCGATAATCTTTTACTTTACATGAAAATATATTTAAAAAATTTGCTTACTTTTAAAAATAATTTTCGGAAGTAATATTCAAATTAGTCCTAAGTTTTAATTGGCAAACTATATTAATAAACTTTAAAATTAATTTTAAAAATACAAGAAAGACTATTTATATGAAGAAGTAACAAAATTTTTCATGGGTAGTGGGTGGCAGACAGAAGTGAGCTCTGCCTTCCACTTCCTGTGAAAGACAAAATGTCCACATTAGATTCACTAGAAATGTTGCTCTTGAACTCTTTGGAATATGAATCATCTTTCTCATCGATGTAAGTAAGTGGCTCGTTTACCTTGCATATACATGCTTCCAATATATATCCAGAGGTGCCAACTCTCCTAATTTAGGTGGGAGACTACCAATTTCTGACCATACTCCCGCCAACCTGATTTGTAACACAGTTCTCCCGACCTTCACTTATATTTTAAATCACATGAGCGCATGATGGTGGATTCGGAGCTGAGACAGCGAGTGTATAGGTTGCATTGCAGATCTCTCCGACTGTTCTGACGAATACTAACCCAGTAACCATAGGCAGTCAGTGATTAACTTTCTGTAGCCTACCTTCATGTATTCCAAAATGTTCTTTTACAAAACACTTTACTAGCAATGAGGACGAGTTAAGTGAAAGGAGTTCGGTTACCTCTCTCACGGTAAAAAGGACTTTCCCGATGCGAAAAGAGGACTTTATGCTCTCTCCTAAGGATAAGAAAGTGGTGAAGAAAAAATCTCTGAAGACTATGGATGATGGAGCTTGCAAGGATCCTAATGTGGGGTTGAACAAGTCTAAAGAGGATGTGAACATGGAAGGCATAATGCTTATTCGGAAACTTATTGCGGAGCATTATTATTTAAGCTGCTGCTTATTATGCTGGACTTAGTAAAGTGCTGAATTCCCCCAGTGCACAGGTGGAGAAAAACCTAAAACGGTTGTTAATCAGCAGATGAACAAAGTGAAAGAAGGTGCTGGATTTCGCCAAGGAAAACTGCCAAAATTGTTGAGGTAGAGAGTATGGAAATTTCGAAAGAAAACAGATTCAAAAATCTGAGCAAAGCTGAAAATATGGCTGAAGGCAGGGCCAGTTAGGAGGAGATGCCCCCATTGTGTTCCAGCAGCGTAGTGTGGATTGGATGGCGATAGATGACCCTGCTTAGAAAAGCATGCAAGGAGGAGTTTGAGGCGAGTGTGAAGTCTGCGACGATTTACACCTATGTTAAGTCGATAGAGGACTATCAGAATGCCACGAGGCTATTGCAGGAGAAGAGTAAGTTGTGTCACACTTTTCAGTTGCCTAGTGAGAAACCTCTCTGAGCGATATTGAAGGACCTGCTGGACACGGTGAAAGAGGAAGCTATTTTTTGACGATTTGAAAAAGAGGCAATTCCCTTTTGAGAAGGTCAAACAATTTAGAAAAGGAAGATCGAAAAATTTTGAGAAGTTCCCAATTTACTTGCTTGAGCTGAGGAATAATCAAGCTGGCCATGCAATTTTTAATCTGAACAACATGTTCAGCTTTAACGTTAAGGTTGAGAAATATAATCCCAAGAAGAGGACAATACAGTGCTATAGGTGTCAGGAGTGGGGTCACTCTCAGCACCTGTGCACTAAACCTGAGCGATGTTGCAAGTGTGGCAATTCTCACAGGAGCAACGAATGCCCCCTCAAACAAGATGAAGCACCCACCTGCATTTATTGTCAGGAAAATCCTGTCAGCAGTTATTGAGGTTGTCGATATTATAGAAGGAAGTTTGAGAAGAGATCCGAGAGAAAGCCCACTGCTAAACCTAAAGAGTTTGTCAAGTTAGACGATGACTTTCCTATATTCCCAAGTAAAGTGCCAGTAGTGCCAAGAAGGAAGATAGCACTTCCCCGCAGTGAGAATGCCAGGGAACTTATTCAACCACCCCCTGAAGATCTTTGGAGAAGCTGTCAGTTGGCTAAAAGATAGAAAAGTCAGCAGCTTCCTGCGAAGTATGATCGATCACATAGCAAAAATACGTGCTGCAAAGTCTACTGCCGCAAAGTTAACTGAGTGATTTAGAGCTCCAATGATGCTAGTACAGTTTGCGGATGTTGAAAATTAAGGATTATTTCTGTGCATCTTAGTAGTACGTTTTCA